ATATATATATATATATATATATATATATATATATATATATATATATATATATATAAATACTTAAATAAACTACTTACTTTTTGTACTACTATACCTACTTTTCGGTTTTTCACTTGTTAATTTTTCAGTTTCATTCAATGTTCATATTTGTAATTTAGCAAATTTAAATTTTTTTATATCATAAAACTGTATAATTATGTATTTATACCTCATAAATATAAAAATGTTTAAATATTTAAAAATATAAAACTTGTCAACTAGCAGCTATGTTGAATTTTAATTTCTAAACAATAATCATAGTAATTTAATGTGTTTTGTTTTCCTCCTGTGAAACATTGATTACACATTTATACTTCTTAAATTTCAACATATTGAAATGCCATTTAAACGATAAAGGACCTTTGTTGACCGTTTTGACAAACGTCAGTCATTTTGAACTTTTAAGTGGCGCTCAGACTTTTCCAAAGCATTTGGCCTCACAGCTACTCGTATACCAGTGTCTGTGCTTGCATCCACGTTTATTTCACTTTATTTCACTTATCTGCCCCACTTTCTGCCCTGACATGAATTTACAAGGCTTTACACATCTTTTTTTATTTACATTTCCCTTCGTTCATTTTGCATTAAAATCTAGTTCATTTAGGGCAGCATTATGGTCTGCATGTTCTCTCCGTGCTGCGTGGGTTTTCTCCAGGTACTCCAGTTTCCTCCCACAGACCAAAAACATGCATGTTAGGCTGATTGGTAACTCTAAATTGTCCCTAGGTGTGAGTGAGAGAGTGAATGGTTGTTTGTCTCGTTTGTCTCTATGTGTCCCTGTGATGGACTTGCGACCCGTCCAGGGTGTCCCCCGCCCCTCGCACAGTGATTGCTGGACATGGGCACCGGCGACCCCCGTGACCCAAAAATAGAAGAAGCGGGTAAAAGATAATGAATGGATGTAGTTAATTTACATTCAGTTTATTTATAGAGCACCAAGTCACAACAAAATTCGTCTCAGGGCACTGAACAGCAACATTAATATATAAAAATAATTTAACTCTTTATCTTAGGAGCAGACTGCTTTGAGTTTAACTCCATCACAGAACTCTCATCTTGAGGCAACAATAACTACCTTTGTTAATAGAACATGCCAAAACAAACCTAAAGGAAAATATGCAACAAGAATCTGTTTTTTTTTTAGCTTTTTCAGGGAAATTGTCTGCACCTAAATTGGTCTTTAACTTTCCCACATTTAGAGCCGATTTTCGACTGGAACGTTAAGCAGCTGTTTCTGTACCTGTCTGCTGAATATGCCACGAAGAGCAACGTAAGTCACAGTCAACACATTTATTTATACATGTCAACTTAAAGGCTGAGCAGTCCTCGAAGAAATAAATATTTTATGTTACCTTTCATGCCATATTTAGACTAATCATCTTATATTGGGAAACGACAAAGTTGTAGCTGTTTGGATAAAACCTTGAAATAAGAAAATGCTCAGTCTCCTGCATTATTGCAACAACTCACCTGATCTGTTAGCACTTGGAAGAATTGTCGTTTGACTCTAAACGTTTATCAGTTGTAGATATATAATTAACAACAGAGTTTACAAGCACTGTATAAAAAGATACGTACAGTATAACAGTATTTTGCACTGTCTGACATTAAATCAGACTATTAATTTCCCATTTTAAGTCCGTTAGAATTCTCAAAACTGTTTGTGTTTGCTAAACTGTTAAAAAATAACATAGATTTTACATGTTTTTTCATGACTGGAGGTTTTTTATGGGTTAGCTGACAGCATTTGAATTAAATGCTTCGGATGGAATACACTGGTCCCTTAATAGTAGCACAATTTTTCCTCACTGACTCTGAAATGAGGCGCACGTGTTCTCTTCCCTCTCCCTGTTCTCCTCCCGCTTTTTGCTGTCTGTCTGTGTATCTGAGCAGCTCTTATTTTTCCACATCTTCCGAAATGAAAACTGCTCTTTTGGAGCGGACCAACTGGACTTTCGACACAAATGACAAAGTATTTTCAACAAATGGGGTCCCGGAGAACCGTCATCTGCTTGGACGACACGCATGCAGCTGGATATGCTAAGACGAAGCAGAGGGCGTGTGATGAGTTGTATGGGAGAAGGACTTGTACCGATTGGCAAGACAGAGGGATCAGGCTGGAAAGGATGTGCAGCAGGTTAGGCTTATTAAAGATAGGAATGGTAATGTTCTAACAAGTGAGGAGAGTGTGATGGGAAGATGGAAAGAGTACTTTGAGGAGCTAAGGAATGAAGAGAATGAAAGAGAAAGAAGAGTAGAGGTCATAGAAACTGTGGACCAGGAAGTGGAAAAGATTAGTGAGGGTGAAGTCCGGAAAGCTCTGAAAAGAATGAAGAAGGGGAAGGCAGTGGGACCTGATGACCAGTGGAGGTTTGGAAATGTCTTGGAGAGATGGCAGTGAGGTTTTTGACTCAAATATTCAATGGCATATTTGAGGGTGAGAAAAAGCCTGAGGAATGGAGAAGAAGTGTGCTGGTGGCCATTTTTTAAGAACAAGGGTGATTTACAGAGTTGTAGCAACTACAGGGGGATTAAGTTGATGAGCCACATGATAAAGATCTGGGAGAGAGTTGTGGAAGCAAGACTTAGACAAGAGGTGACTATCTGTGAGCAGCAGTATGGTTTCATGTCAAGAAAGAGCACCACAGATCCATCTTTGATTTGAGGATGTTGATGGAGAAGTACAGAGAGGGTCAGAAAGAACTCTTTGTCTTTTGTGTCTTTGTGGATTTAGAAAAAAACATATGACAGAGTGCTGAGGGTGGAGGTGTGGTGTTACATTAGAAAATCTGAAGTGGCAGAAAAGTATGTTAGACTGGTACAGGACATGTATGAGGACAGTGGTGAGATGTGCTGTAGGAGTGACAGATGGCTTCAAGGTGGAGGTGGGAGTGCATCAAGGATCTGCTCTGAGCCCCTTCTTGTTTGCTCTGGTGATGAACCGACTAACAGATGAGGTCATGCAAGAATCCCCATGGTCTATGATATGCAGATGACATTGTAATCTGTGGTGAGAACAGAGAACAGGTGGAAGAGAAATTGCAGAGATGGAGGTATGCACTTAAAAGAAGAGGAATGAAAGTCAGTCGTAGTAAGACAGAGTTCATGTGTGAATGAGAGGGAGGAGGTGGAACAGTGAGGCTACAATGAGCAGAGGTCACAAATGTGCAGGACTTCAAACTTCAAGTAATTGGGATCCACTGTCCAGGAACATGGGGAGTGTGGTAAAGAGGTGAAAAAGAGAGTGTCCAGGCAGGATGGAGTGGATGGCGAAAAGTTTCAGGAGTGATTTGTGACAAAAGGGTGTCTGCAAAGGTGAAAGGAAAAGTTTACAAGACAGTGGTGAGACCAGCTATATTGTATGGTCTGGAGACAGAGACATGGACAAAAAGACAGGAGACAGAACTGGAAGTGTCAGAAATGAAGATGTTGAGATTCTCCTTAGGAGAGACGAGGATGGAAAATATTAGGAATGAGATCATCAGAGGTACAGCACAGGTTGAACAACTGGGAGATGAAGTTAGAGAGGACACACTGAGATGGTTTGGACATGTCCAGAGGAGGGACAGTGGGTATATTGGTAGAAGGATGTTAGAAATGTTGCTGCCAGGAAAAAGACAAAGGAGGAAGGCCAAAGAGGAGATATATGGATGCAGTTAGAGAGGACATGGAAGTAGTTGGAGTGAAGACAGAGGATGCAGAGGACAGAGTGAGATGGAGGAGGATGACTCGCTGTGGCGACCCCTGAAGAGGGAAAAGCCGAAAGAAGAAGAAGAAGATGTTGCTTTGTTGTGGTAGGTTTTTTTGATGCCTCAAACCGTGCCCTGTCTAGGACATGGTGTGAGAGATCTTTTTTTATACTTTCTCTCCTCATGTTTACTTCCCCTTTTCTCATCTAAGCCCAAAGTATTCTGAAAAGGATCAGGCCGCGCTCTTAAAGAGAATCTGCAACGTGCACTCTGCCCATCTTTTGGACGACTGTACGGACTTACTCTCGTTGTATCTTGGTACAATGATAATGAAGCTTATTCTGAATCTGATTCTGATTATCCATGGTTGGATAAGAAGAGACAACAGGTTCAGCAAAGAAACCCAGACATCAATCTCTCCAGCAATACTCTCCATCTCTGCCCGAATGCCTTGGAGTCCCCCCAAAAGAGCTGAAATTCTAGGTCTACCCTAGAGTTTTCTCCTTGTGGGACGTGCCTTATAAACCGCCAAAGGCAGGCTTTCAAGAGGCATTCTGTTCAGATACCCAAATCATCTTAGCTTGTGTGTACACATTCACACACCTGAAAACGTTCAGCATTAGAAAGGACTTGAACAAAAATAAACAGCAATGGAAGATCAAGATACCCAACAGAGCACGCTGTATCTGCAGAGAAGTCCACCATCACTGCAACACAAACACGTTCTCTTCACAAGTTAAGACTGGACAGGGTTGGGTGTCATTGAGGTTTTCCATGTCCAACTATGTCCAACTCAAAGAGGCTTTGGGGCGGTCTCTGAAACTTTCTGAAGTGATTTTACTCTCTCTGTTCTGGAAACACCTTGGGGTTCCCCAGGAGGAGGAGCTGGATTTGTCTCCTGGGCCTGTTTCTTCCATTACCCAACAAAAGACAAGCAGTAGAAGATATAGAAGAAAACCTGTTTCCTGTTTCACTGTGACATGTTCTGTAGAGTGCATGTTTGTCTGGCCCTGTTTGTTTGTAACAAACGTTCTCCTCCAGTGTGTACATTTGCCCAGGTGATTAAACGTAATCTTTGCGTATTTGTGTCAGTCTCTGAACCAGGTGGTGCTGTGGGACAAGATTGTTCTTCGAGGTGAAAACACCATACTGAACTTCAGAGACATGAAGTCCAAATACTTTTTCTTTGATGATGGAAATGGACTCAGGTAAGACACCGATGGTTGGTTTTTATTTTTTATTTTAGGGGGTTATGATGACTTGGAGACACAGATACATCTGATGGCACCTTTACAACTCAATGAAACAATGCTTCATTTCTCATAAAAATGAGATTCAGTAAAAAACATTTATCTAAAGAACAGGTGCACCTCAAAAAATTAGAATACCATGAAAAAGTTAACAAAGAAAATCATTGCAGAAAGTGAAACTCATTTATTACATAGATTTGTCAAACACAGAAATATTTCAGCCTTTACTTCTTTAATTTTGATGAGTTTAACTTACAGATAATGAAAAAATAAAACTGAGTTTCAGGCAGAATATTGTGAAGAGGTTCAGGAGGTACCAGGTAAACTCCTGGTGTCTCAGCCTGATCAGCTGAGGAACTTCCGGACATGAAAAGTCTGTCCTCAAGTCCAGACACTCCTGAACCAGAGACATCATCAGAAGTGTCTTACCTGCTGAGGATACAAAGAACTGGAATGTCTCAGTGGTCCAATGTCCTCTTTTCACATGAAAAATTTATAAATCAAGATCCCAGAGTCTGGAGGAAGACTGCAGATGTCCAGAATCCACCAAGTCCAAAGTGAAGTTTCCACAGTCAGGGATGGTTTGGGTCCATGTCCTCTGCTGGTTCTGGTCCTCTGGGTTTAGTCCACAGTCCATGCAGCACCTAACAGGACATTTTAGAGACTTTATGCTTCCTTCTGCTGATGAGCTTAATGGAGATGCTGGTTTCATTTTCCAGCAGTACTCTGCACCGGCCCACACTGACAAAGGTACCCAAAGCTGGTTCTGGAATATTCTAATCCAGACTAGACGCTGAGTTTTAGTTTTCCATTCTCTGTAAGTTATAACCATCAAAGTTACAAGAACAAAGGCTGAAATATTTCACTCTGTGTGATTAATTGATTTAATATATGAGTTTCACTCTCTGAAACGGACAATTTTTAAAAACTTTTTCACGATGTTCTAATTTTTTGCTGCGTATCTACATGTCTTGAAAATGTAATTCTAAAGTAATACACAAACGGTGTGGCCAGACTTGTCGGATCCACAGACACCAACATGTCGGCTGCGAGGTAACAGCATTACTACTATTCTTCCTGACCCATTAGCAGTAATGTTATATGACGTTAAACATCTGACACACAAGGCAAGTGAGGACGGAAAAGGCTGGGAGAGATCCAGAAGCCATGCTAAGCTAAACTAAACTAAGGCTAGCTTGCGCTAGCAGATCCCAAACGGAGACTAAACTAATATTTGTTGTAAGCTCAGATGTGCTTCCAGTGAAGTCCCACAGCAGAAACAACTAAATGAAAACAAAATAAAACATGTAAACTGTATCAAACAGTCGTGCCGAAATAAAACCAGTAAATCAAAAGATTTGATGAACAAACAATACAACCAGCAGTAGAGCAGCCTGGAAATGTTGCAATATATAAATGATGCACAACCACTGCTTCACTGAAGGTTCTTAATGACGTTGTTGAAGCACTGGATGCTAAGGATTATTGTGCTGCACTTTTCTTAGACCTGTCTAAAGATTCTGACACTGTGGATCAGAACATCTTGTGCCATAAACTCTCAGAAACTGGTTTCTCAGAACACACCATTGGTTGGTTCTCTAACTATCTTTCAGACCGGAGGCAATGTGTTCAACATAATGGTACTTCCTCCAGTTATTTAACAGTCAACAATGGTGTACCACAAGGCTCAGTCTTAGGACCCACCCTCTTTACAATCTACATAGGTAATGTAGGTCAGAGCATCCCTGATGCATCTTTACATTTCTATGCTGATGACACAGTTGTTTATTGTCAAGCTAAAACAGTTGAAAAGGCTTTCCAGCTTTTGCAATCTGCATTCAACATCATCCAGACAGATTTGTTCCGCCTCAAACTTGTCCTAAACGCCGACAAAACCAAAGGGATGCTTTTTTCAAACAGGAAGTCGATCCCAGCAGTTCTTCCTCTGATTTTATCCTCAAATGGTGTCCCAATTGAGTTTGTTGATTCCTAGAAATATTTGGGTATCTTGGTCGACTCACATCTCTCTTTTAATTTTCACGTGGAAAACCTAGAAACTGAAAGTTAAACTGGGTTTCTTTTCCAGAAACAGATCCTGTCTAACTCTGAATGTTAGGAAACACCTTGTATCTGTGACTTTCCTTCCCTCCATTGATTACGGTGACATTATTTACATGAACGCTCCTACAAGAACCCTGCAGATGTTGGATGCTGCAGATGTTGGATGCTGCAGATGTTGGATGCTGCAGATGTTGGATGCTGTCTATCATGGTGCACTAAGATTCATAACTGGCTGTAACTACCGTACCCACCACTGCACCCAGTGTTCACTGGTTAACTGGTCACCATTAACTTCACACAGACTCTCCCACTGGTACATTTTCATCTTTAAATCACTTCCTGGTCTGCTGCCTTCATACATCTCCTCCTACATGTCTCTGTGTGAGTGCAGCTACAGCGTGCGCTCTCAGGACATCATTACCTGCAGTGTTCCCTCAGTGAGGACTGAACTAGACAAAAGGACCTTCTCCTCCTCCGCTCCTGTTTCCTGGAATATCTTGTAAAAACATCTGAAGCTCTCAACCAAGTGGCTTCAAACATCTGCTCAGTTCCTGCAGACCTGTTCCTGTTTTTAGTTTTCTACACCACCTTACAATCTTGCTGGTTTTTTTGCTGCTTTTCCTTTTAATTAGCATTTTAATTAGCATTTTTTTTCACTTGTTAAAAAAAATTAACATTTCTACGCATCTTTTCTGATTGTCTATTATTGTCGTTGTTGTCCGTTGTTGTCATCACTCTTTACTAAAAACCAGGTCTCTCTTGTAAACGAGTCCCCGAGGCTCAGTGGGATTAGCCTGTAGAAATAAAGGTCGAATGAAAAAAAAAATGCTTTAAAATCCTGAACAATAACACCTCAGACCAGAACCCAGAAGTCTGAAGCTCAAACGGGTCCAGCTTCCCTGTCAGGTGGTTCCAGTTAAAGTTTCGAAGTCCTGCCCCCTCCAGGTAAACAAATGATAAATTGCCACTGATTAGGAATTTAATTACACCTTATATCAATGTTTTCTGGTGTTGATGTTCATTCAGTGTTCTTCTGCTTTATGCTCAAATATTCATTTTCCCAACACGTGTAGCTGTAATACTTGATACTTTGAAGAAAGATCCTGCAGCACCGTGGTTGTGAGTGAGGGGTTAGGGTCAATCCAAACAAGGCAGGCAGGTCTTTACTGAATTCTATCTGCCTCGAGTTTTTGCTGGTCTCGCGTAAATTCTGAAAGGTCCAAATCAAGTGGACACACCACTGGTTCGTGCCTGAGAATATTCCCTGAGATTTGATCCATCCTGTGGCAGCAGAGCAGAGGCTGTTTGCAAAGGAAATTTAAGTCAATTTTACAAATGACCGACGCAGAGAAAACTGTTCGACCCAAGTCCTCCAAAATGTGGGAGAACTTCACAAAGATAAAAAATGAGAAACATGCCGCTTTGAAAATCGCCAACACGACACGAGAGAACCACGGAGATGAACGTAAACATGTCAGAGTCACGAGGAGGAGGAAGGAGCTGCAGCTGATGCAACTCTTCATGTGTTGCAGGTGAGTCTCTACAATATTCTACATTTGTTCTGTTTCAAGAGAGAAAACGTAACGTCAGTCTCTCTGGAGATGAAGCTGCTGTTTGTTTGTTTGTTTTGTTTTCTGATTAATGACGGTGATAGAGAACGTGTGTTAGTTTTTATTCAATTTAATTGGTACAAGCAGTGTTTAAATGTGATTTATAAATAAATCTAACACAAAGATAATAATTTAATGATTAAGCTTCAACTTTTAATTTACTGGCAAAGTCTGAAGATACTGCAGGTATGGCAGGATGAATTGCATTTAAACAGGAATTAAGTCATTTATTACATCTACTCAAATGTGTGTAATTAAGTATTTTATATATATATATATATGTGTGTGTGTGTGTGTGTGTGTGTGTGTGTGTGTGTGTTTAATTGCTCTTTTAGCTACTTTTGCCTGAACCCAACACTGTAAGTGAAACAAGGCATTTCTTGAGTTGCTGTAAATTATGCTATAAAACATATTTACTGTCTCATTCCAGAAAACAACAACAACAAACAACAACATCCTCCATGATGGACAGACATCATGGACACCACAGCAGCAGCTGTCTTCACTGAAACATCCTGAACATGATCGTCACTGACATGAGGCCTCTGTCCATGGTTGAAGACGAATGCTTCACTACAATAATCCACACTTTTAATCCAGGTTACAATAATCCACACTTTTAATCCAGGTTACAATAATCCACACTTTTAATCCAGGTTACACTCTTCCCTCAAGGACACATTTTACAAAGTAGCTACATACTGTGCAGGTATAAAGATACATTTGTATATATTTTTGTGTACATTAATTTTTTTAAGATATTTGACTAACTTTTATTTTTTATTATTCAATATTTTACTAACAGAATAGTCAAATAGCAACCTATTTTTTGTGCGAATTGCTATGTCAGTCAAATGTTAAATTTTGAAATAAAGCAGTGGAAATTAAAACTTTTTTCTTTTTTTTTCCGATTCATCGATTTAATCGAAAAAAATAATTGACCGATGAATCGGTTATTGAAATAATCGTTAGTTGCAGCCCTAAATGAGAATAAAATTAATGGAAAAAATACCACACACTAATTAATTAATTAATTCAACCTTTATTTATTTCTATAGGTTAGTCCCATTGAACCTCTGGGCTCATTTACAAGAGAGACCTGATTTTAACAGAGTGATGACAACAGTGGACAACGACAACAATAGACAGTCGTAAAAGAGGCATAAAAATTAACTTCTTTTTTTTTTTACAAATTAAAATAAAATGGCAACCAGAAAGACGATCAAAAGAAAAAAGTAGCAAAAAAATAAAAAATAAACCCCAGCCAGATTATAAGGCAGTGTAGAA